GAAGAAGTGAGGTTCTTACCCACGAAAGCTTATGCTCCCAATACTTCTGTTAGTCTCAAAGGTGCCACAGGACCCTCTGTTGCTTTTTAGTGGTGGTAGCGATACTAAGGCAAGGAAGGAATTTGTGCTTTGGGGATGTTTTAACCTAAGCTGGTAGAAATAAGCTTAGGGGGTCTTTCATGTGGGTCCCCACATCTGTACCCCAGAGTGGCACATGGTATGCCTATATCTTGAATACTGCATGCAGATGTTGTCACCTCATCTCAAAAAAGATACTTTGGACTTGGAAAAGATTCAGAAAAGGGCATCAAAACTTATTAGGAGTATGGAATGGCTGCCATATGAGGAGAGATTAATAAAACTGGGACTTTTCAGCTTGAAAAAGAGATGACTAAAGGGGGATATGATAGAGGTTGTAGCAGGGTAGTTCCCTGATCCTGCCTGGAAGAGCTTAAAACAGCCCTGGCAGAGGGCTGGGGCAGGGGAAAAGCTGGGCTGATTCGCAGAGTAGCTGGGCCACGCCCTAATCAGGCCACAGCTGGCCTGTATAAAAGGCTGTGAGCCAGACGCCCAGGAGGAGTCTTTCTTCAGGCTGGGAGAGAGCAGGGCCTGGCTGCCTGCAGTAAGGGTACTGGAAGTGAAGCAGGGCTGGGGAGGAGTAGGGGAGCTCCAGGCTGGCAACTCCCCAGACTGCAGGGCCTGGTCCAAGGCCCATAGAGGTACTGGGAGGCAGAGGAAGGCAGCAGGTCCGAACCCCCTTGCCTATGATGAGTGCCTTTTATGCTGCTGTCTGCCCAAAGGAGGTGGGGGCTTGGTGATGACTGGCAGTAGCCCAGACTGAGGCAAGGGTGGGGATTAGAGGGTTGGGGGTTTCCCAGAATGGGGAGACCCATAGAGACTGGTGGGGGTATTGCCAGCGGGCAGCCCCCAGGTAAAGGGGCACCGGGGTCTTGGGAGGAACATGGGGGCCAGCGGCAGCGGAACACTGGTCTGCAGAGGGCGCTCCGAGGGCTGAAGAGCTAATTCCCTGAGATGACCAGCAGGAGGCGATGCAAGGGGGAGTTGTGCACCGTGACAGAGGTCTATAAAATCATGACTGATGTGGAGAAAGTAAATAAGGAAGTAAGTGTTATTTACTCCTTCTCATAACACAAGAACTAGGGGCCACTAAATGAAATGAATAGGCAGCAGGTTTAAAAGAAACAAAATGAAATATTTTTTCACACAATGCATAGTCAACCTGTGGAACTCCTTGCCAGAGGATGTTGTGAAGGCCAAGTCTATAACAGGGTTCAAACAAGAACTAGATACATTCACAGAGGATAGGTCCACAATGGCTATTAGACAGGATGAACAGGATTGGTGTCCCTAGCTTCTGTTTGCCAGAAGCTAGGAACGGGCAACAGGGGATGGATCACTTGATGATTCCCTGTTCTGTTCATTCCCTCTGGGGCACCAGGCATTGGTCACTGTCGGAGGACAGGATACTGGGCTAGACTGATCTTTGGTCTGACCAATATGGCCGTTCTTATAGTCTTATGCCCCCCACGTTACCTCTGTTTGCAGGAAAAATGAAAGAAAACAGATGTAAGGAAGCCGGTTAACAGTGGACAAAGCATAAACTCACGAATGGCCTTGTAAATAACATGTAGTTAGCAGATAAATAATAAGGAGAATAATCTATGATAAGGCTGCAGCTTTGCTCACTAGCACATTTTGCAGCTCATGGATGGTTTCAGGTTACGAAAATTAGTAGACTAATTATAAAGTGTGTGATACACTTAATACTATTGGATAAAACATCGTAAGTGTATACGTAACCTGATTCATGATTATGTATGTTAGCTGTGTGGTGTACCTTGTACCCACCCCCTACAATTAAGCCCAGTCAGCTCAGGTATAGTTTGATTGTATGCCAATAAAGAAACCTCAATGACAAGTCAAGTTGAACTGATTTCTTGGATTCCAGAGAACTGGATAAAGCATTCTCCCGGGACTGGATGAAGTGTTCTGGATAAACCAAGTGGAAATGGTCTTGGAGGGAATCCCAACAGCAGACTGGAAGCAGCATTTTGCAAGATTTTGCTTTGCAACCAAACTCCACAAGGAAACTGCCCACATTCAGATATGCTCTTTCATTTGTGCTATGGGGAAGCAGACAGAGCATATCTTTAAATCTTTTACCTTTACTGAAGACAGTCACAAAGATGATTATGCCAGAGTTCTGGCAGTGATTGATGCATACTTTATACCTCAATGCTGAACTGTATTATACAGGTCAGCCACTGCATGGCACCATGTGTAACAGATGCACCTGGCAGTGCATTAGAGTGTCTTAAAAACAATGCAGCTTTTGTATCTCTCTGAGGTGGGAGCTCTGTAGCCAGTTCATATCCGGTTTGTGACAGACGGCGTGAATCAATTGTTTTTCACTCTGTTGATTTTACATGGAAGGTGCTCAGATACTACAGTGATGGGTAACAGAATGATCCCAATTAGATAGATGGGAAGGAAGGGAAAATGCTCTCCTCCCTGTTCCCTTCTCATCTCCTAAAGGCTTCTCCCTAAAGACCTCAGGAGGCCAGCATGGACACGGGGATGGATAAAAATAGAATTTCCCCATCCCTCCAAAATCTACCTCCCAGTGCATTTGGGACAGGGAATAATCTGACCTGCCCAACTCCAATTGACAAACAAAATGTAAAACTGAGGCCAGGACTACACTAGAAACATTCACACCCCTGAGCGACAGTTATATCCAACTACTCCCTGGGATAGACAGTGCTAAGTTGACAGGAGGAGGATTAACTACAGAAGAAGGTAGTGTCTTCACTGAAGCAGGCTACAGGCAGCTTTAAATGTGCAGCTGCAGCACTTTAAGTGTAGACCTGCCCTGAGAAAGAAAATATCCCATATCCCTAGCCAGCTAGGGTAATGCAGTGTATCTACTTTGTGCTTTACCCAAACTGGGCAGCAGGTGTTACTGCTGCTCCATGGGGGAAACACACACTCTGCATTACCCCAACTGCCCCTCCAACCCCACTGAATCTCACCAATTGCTGCTGCAGCTTCTCCTCTCTCTCCTTTCCCCGCTTCTGCAACACGTCCATCTCCTCTTTCATCAGCCTGGCTTGCTCTGTGAAGCCCTGCTGCAACAGCTTCTCCTGCTCCTTCAGCTTGCACTCCATGGTTCTGTCCATCTCCTGCCTCATCTTGGTGATCTCTTCCTCCATCTTGGCTTCCACCTGTCTAATTTTCTCCTGGTGGCTGCATTCCTCATCTCTCATCCGCTGCTCCAGCTGCAGACTTCTCTCCTCCTCTGCCTTGTGCTGCTGCTCCAGCCGCTCCACTCTTGCCTGCTCAGCTTATTGTAAAAGGGAAAACAAAATTAAAAAAAGACGATAGCATCATCCTCCACCTACTGTGGAGTCTCCATGTGGCAGACAGTGTCCAGCCTCTCAGACGTGTATTGGACTTGATTATAAAGTGGCAGTAGTCTCTCCACAGAAGGCTGCCAGTGGGTCTCCACTGTAATAAAATGGCAGAACTTGCTCCACAGTTAAGGCTGTCAGTGGGTTTCCGTTATAAGCTGATTGTGCCCCATTTTCAATTCCCACAAAGAAAGTAAGGTTAGGCTGAAAAGTATCAAGGTAAGTTTGGACCAACATTGAATTTTTCTGCTAAATTGGAAGTGAATCAGACCAGGGTAGGAAAACTATAGCACCCTCATAACAGGTATGTTCACCAGAGCTCAAAACCTCTTTGTTTCACCAGAAAGAAGGAGAGATGAAAGAAAAATTACTTACTGGTAATTCTGTTTGTCATTTGTCTCTTTTCTCCCATCCTACAGGAGTAGTTTAATGAACAGACAGTGTCATGGGGCCATCTGCTGGAAGCAAGGAGGCAAAACAAACCAAGCTCCCATCTCTGACTATATCAGCCCCAGCCAGAGCCCCCTGCCTCCTAATATACAGACTTGCAGAGCCATAAAGGGAGAAAAACAGTATTCATGTTAATAAATAATAAAGTGATTGCAGCAGGGAGGAGGGTGGGATGTCAGATGGGAGAATACAGCTAACAGAATTACCAGTCTGCAGTGTTCTTGTTGCTGTGCTGATCCCAGGATATCAGAAAGAAAAGGTGGGTGAAGCAGTGTCTTTTATTGAACCAACTTCTGTTGGTGAAAAAGACAAGCTCTCGAGCATCACAAGCTCTTCTTTGGGCCTGGGACTATCCCAATAAACCTGGGTGCCTAGTTACCTACCAGGAGCAGTCTGAATTCTCTGAGCCACAGCAGAGAAATGAAGGGGAAACTGTCTCTGAGGAGCAGAGATGAACCCCAGAGACTGAAAGGCAAATAGAATACCTGGCTCCTGCCCAGTGAGGGGTGTTCAATAGGTGCTTTTATAAGGCCCCAGAGGTACAGCTCAGAGGGCAGGTCCATGCACAGTGAGTTGCTAGGCACTCAGTTTATCTCCCTCAGTGAGGGAGCCTGGGCTGGGGTCTGAACCTCTGGCTTACACAAGGGCAATGATTTCAAACCTGAGGCTTAAGCCCTACCCTGATCCAGCACCTCTGTGGCTCATGGGAATTTTGGGAGTCAGCCTGGAGCACCAATGGTAGCCCAGAGGCCAACATAGATATTATTCAGTGGCAAAGAACTACATGCACACAGAGTTAAGGTAAGGTAGGTCATCCCCTTGCAGAATGCTGATTTGAGTAATCTCAAACTTCTGAAACCCATGAAATGTACAGTTAAGCTTTCCCACACAACCTTAACTCTGCCCTCTTTCAGCAATGGACAAGCGGTGGAACAAATTTGGGAACCACTGGTCTAAACCAAAGTGCTTTATATCTACAAACGGGGCCGATGCAAGGATATTTTGTGCCCTAGGTGAAACTTCCACTTTGCCCCCCCCC